TTTTTGAGGGTAATGTCTTCGACTAGATACGATTTGTGATCTTTTGACGTATCATTGAAAGAAATCGGTTTGGTGAGAGCTAAGAAAAAGTGGTAACAGACACAAAAAGAAAAAGAAAAAAAAACACATCATAGTAAAATTAATATCTTCTCAGCTTCGATGCGAAGCTAATATTATTATTGTCTAAAAGCCAAACAACGCTAAATTAGCCTCTCTGTTTCCTAGGCGATCATCTCGTGATCGATGTCAAAAGAATCGATACTTTGATTAAAGATAAGACAAGTCACTTAATAAATTTATGTTTTCTTATCCTGAAATCAGTTTTTAAAGTAAAAGAGTTTAACGACTAGCAATCAAGCCGACAATTTAAACGAATTAAGATGCAAATTCATCAATCAGTAAAAATGTCATGCCATGTATACATAGATCATTATCTTCACAATACTCATAACGAATAACAGAGCAATTAACTATATGCTTATGAAAATCTCTACATGTATAACTCGCACGAAAAATGACGATCGCATTTTGATTTCAAAAATTACATTTCATTGAGTAACCTGTCATATCTTTAATAGTAATCGGTAGAAACACTTACAAGTAAACTTTTAAAACAATCTTTTGATTTGTTATCTACTCTGAAAATTGTTACGTGAAGTCAGTTAGTTATTTTTACATAGTACGCTCATTATTTTAAAAGAACTTTTATCTAAACCTTGCGTTTCGAACGAACAGCACTCAAAGTAAACTCTCGTCTTTGAGTATAAAACAACAAAAGATAAGGGGAAACACAATTTTCATATTATCATTTAAAATATTTTATTTTAACAGTAGAAATGTTTAAACAATTAAGAAAACACAAAAACTCATACATTCATAAGTCCATGTGAGCGCAGCATTGGTTCAACACTTTAGTCATTTAAATCTTACAAGACATTATGAAATCTACTAAAATATATTTTAGAGCATGATGAAGGTGCAAATACACAGTTTATTTGAGATACAATATCCTAATGTCAGGCTCCGCCTGAATCAAGTTTTTGGAGGAATA